AGGCTCAACCGGGTCTACCTGGGAAACACCTGAGGGAGCAGCACCCTGGGGAGGGAGGGGGTCTACCGACGGGACACCTGGGGTGAGGAAGAGCGGCGGGGGGGGGAGCGGGGCAGTGCGGTAGGGGAAGAGACAGTAAAAGGGTACCGACTCGTCAAAAGTGACGTCCTGAGAGGGGAAGACACGACGCGAGGTGGGGTGGTAAAACTGCCAGCCAGGCGCGTCAGGGACAAAGCCAAGGAAGACACAGGGAACGGCACGGGAGGAGAGCTTGTCCGCGGACGTATCGCGGACAAAGGCTCGACATCCCCAGACTCGGAACACCGACGCATCGCCAACCTTCCCCGTCCAACGCAGTGTGGGCGAGGTCTCCGGAACAGAGACACGGGGCCAGAGTTTGAGCTGATGCGCGGCGTACTGCACTGCAAACGGCCACAGGAAATGGGGGGCAGTCGCATGGATCATGGAAGTACGAGCGACCTCCATGACTAGACCAATGCGGCGCTCAGCAACCCCATTCTGCTGCGGAGAGGCCGGAAGAGTGAATGTCTGGCGGATGCCGTGCTCCGCACAGTAGGCTGCCAAGAGGTCGGAGGAAAACTCGCCACCTCTGTCAGAGTGCAGACGCAGGACGGGAAAGTCCGACTGGAACCGCTCGCGGAGCTGGAGATGAGCAGCGCGGATCCAAGGGATCAAAACATCAGGGACCTCACCCTTGGTGTGCAAGGGGAAGACCGTGGTGTAGCGCATGTAGTTGTCGACGACCAGCAGGAAGTACCGCTCGTGGCCCTGTCCCCGGACGCGGGCTGGGCCCCACACGTCCAGGTGGAGAGTCTGCAGGGGAGCCTCTGTGGGAGGGAACGAGGAGGAGTGAGGAGCGGCGCGCTGCCGCCCCTCGACACAGGGAAGACAGGGAGGAGCAGGCGAGGGTGGGAGGGGAGGGAGAACCCTGGGAAGACCAGAGACAAGGTACCGGGAGTGCATGCCGCGAAGGCGCTGCACTGACGGGTGACCAAGGCGGTGGTGCCAGAGGACAGTCCGGTGCGACAGGGAGCGACACGAGCAGGGGGCCGACAGCTGACCTGACGCAGACGCAGACGCAGCTACCTGAGGGGACTCAGTGGTCAGTGTGTACAAGTCCGACCCCGGCTGTCGAGTGAAGGCAGCCAGGTGACGACCCGTCTGGGCACACGTGCAGTGCGTCACACGCTCGTAGGCAGGGGTGAACTGGTGAACACCCGCGTCCTGGAGTGCGGAACCCGCCACCAAGTTCGTAGAGAACGAGGGGAGGTAAACGCCCGACAGCGTGCCAGACGGGACAGCAGGACAAGGGAGGGCAGTGGTGGAGGTCGCAAGGACCGGATTCCCTGAGGGGTCAGCCAAGGAGACAGCAACCGGTCTAGGAAGCTGCTCTAGGACAGTGCGGTCGCGAAAGAAACAGCGGGAAGCACCTGAGTCCAGTGTGAAGGTGTGCAGTGCCTCAGTGGACGCGGTACCAGCAGACGCAGACGCACTAGCACCTAGGGCAGCAGCCTCACCAGGACCTAGAGCAGCAGACGCCCGAGCACCTAGAGCTGCAGCCTCACTGGTCCCAATACCCGGGTCGGGCGGTACACACAGGTAACAGTCACCCTCAACACTAATAGTCAATGCATACATAGCAGCAAGGATAGCATCATAATCAAGAGCAAAGATATCAATCCCCTTCTTAAGCAGATCAGCCCAGCGGGGCAGCTCAGTGTCAAAACTAGCAGTAGAAAGTAAGAATGAAGAAAGGAGGGGGTTCACTAGCAAGCAGTAGGATACATATAGCAAACCCTAATTGGGCTGTACTCACTATAGAGTACTCCACTGCAGGCTAGACAATTATAACATTCTGACACACCCCCATAGCCAAAGTGGGGTGTAATCAGCACAACAAGCAAGCATAGTAATAGTTCACAATTATAAGCAAAGCTAGTGGTAGTCACAGCGGGCAAGTGAGGAGGAGGAGGGACTGTGAGAGGAGAGAAGATGAGAGACGGCGGCTGAAGCTGCAGACACACGGGCAACAGGAGCTGCTGGCACAGTGGCTACCGGGACAGTGCGCCCCGGACTACTGGAGTAACTGGCTCACGGGCTACGAGGAGCTACAGGAGCAACGGACCCTCGGGCGACAGGCGCAGCAGACTCTCTGGGCTACCAGGACAGTGCGCCCCGGACTACAGGTGCTGCGGACGACAAGACAGCAGCCTCCGCTCAACCTCCTCCAACTGTCCCACACACCCCCACACACCCACTGCTTCACTCCTAACTCCACTTGCACGTCACCCCCCTAGTACCACTCCTTCGGCTCCCACACACCCACCCCCCTCAGCGGCAGCTGCAGCACTGGGAGACGGAGAAGGAGGAGCAGGGGACGGCACACAGAAACTGCACCCCCATACCCCCCACCCCAAACCCTAATTCAGGAGAACGGGCAGCAGCAGGGGTGGGGCGCTGTCAGAAGCACGGGGGATAGCGGGCAGCGCAGGGGAAGAGGAAACAGGGCGCCCACGGGCCTGGCGCAGCCCGTACGAACCGCGTGCGGGCGGCCCGAGGCGCGCCCTGGCCTGGCGCAGCCCGTACGGGCCGCGCGCGGGCCTGGCGCTGCCCGTACGGGCCGTGCGCGGGCCTGGCGCAGCCCGTACGGGCCGCGCGCGGGCCTGGCGCAGCCCGTACGGGCCGCGCGCCGGCTGTACGGGCCGCGCGCGGGCCCTACGCAGGTCGCGCAGGCCGCGACGGGCGACGGGGGGCGACGCGCGGGTCCCCGTCGCCCGTCGCAGCGCCTCCCGGGAGCGACGCGCGGAGTGACGGGGCAGAAAGCCGCCGCGCGCCTCGGGGCGCACGGCGGGCAGAAAACCGCCGCGCGCCTCGGGGCGCACGGCGGGCAGAAAACCGCCGCACGCTCCGAGCGCGCGGCGGGATGAAAAATCCGTCGCACGCCACGGGGCGTGCAACACACAGAGTAGCAGTAGCAGCGGAAGCAGTGAGGTGGTGGGCCCACTCACAGGATCGACCCAGGAGGGTCGACCTGCTCTGATAGCATGTCAGAACTAGCAGTAGGAGTACGGCCTAGGCTTAGTAGCCTAGGCCACAGTAGGACTAGTAACGAGGAGCCAAGTACGAGCTAGGAATGTGTGTAGGAACAGAATTGAGAAGTCTGCTCGCGCCAGGTGTCGTCGAGGCGAAAGAAACAGCGCTGCGCCGTGTGAAACCTCCCACAAGTCTGGCCAGTGCGGTCACCTGTGCGGATGACGTACGGGCAGGTACCTCCACCCCCAGACCCCCCACGCTGAGAGTACCACTCACGGAGCTGCTGAGGCGACTGGGTCTCGCCGGGACGCTGCTGCTGCTGCCTCTCGCCACCACTGAACCCTGTCAGAATCCCAACCACTAGACCATTGGGATAAAAGGGCTTTTTAAGTAGCCGGTCAGTGCGCCCATAACCCCCCAGGACAACGAGCCTGTAACCCTTCCCTAGGATCAATCGGGGATCACCAGTGGACCTCTGACACCCCCCCGCACTGGGATGCCCGAAGTGCACACACTGGGATTCGAACCCGAGACCTTCGCTCTGATAGCATGTCAGAATCCCAACCACCAGTTCTTCGCTTACCAGGTCACCTACCAGTTCTTCGCTTCGCAGGACGTCACGTTCGACGAGTCTGTCTGTTACTACAGGAGTCGCCCCCACCGAGGTACTGAGGCCTTTTCCCCCCCGCTGTTCCTCACCCTTGAGCCCCCACCAGTCGCCCCGGTAGCCCCCCCCCCTTCGCGTCCTGCCCCGTCAGGTGTGTCGCACGTCACTCCGCAGTCTTCCCCCCCGCAGCGTCCAGTCCCTGTCGTGTCTGGGGGTGCGGGAGGTGCAGTTGCGGAGGGTGAGGGTACTGGGGCTGCAGGAGCTGGTGGTGTCGGCTCTGGGGGTGCAGGGGTTGTGGGCGTGGAGGTCACTCCTGTGGAGGACACGGCAGCCTCGACTCGGCGGCCTCGCCCTGCCTCACCCCCTGGCTTCCCGTCCGTCCCGCAGTTTCCTCCTCCTTCTTCTCTGCGGTCGGTTGCTGCGGAGCCTGGGGGTGTTCCTGCGGGAGGTACTGGAGGCCCCGGGGGTGTCGGTGGTGGAGGTGCTGGTTCTGGGGGTGCTGGAGGCACTGGCACTGTGGCGCCTACACCGCGCACTGTACGTTTCCTGACCCGTGAGCAGCGTCTCCTCCGGTTGGAGAGGGAGGAGCGTGAGCGATTTGAGAGGGCACAGCAGCAGCAGCAGCAGCAGCAGCAGCAGCAGCAGCAGCAGCAGCAGCAGCAGCAGCAGCAGCAGCAGCAGCAGAGTACGGGTTTACGATACGATCTTAACTAGAGTACGGGTTTAACTAAGGGCCTAGGCTTAGTAGCCTAGGCCAAACGGGTGTCGAGGGAGTTGTGCCAAGGGAGAATCGAGAATGTGTGTCTTCACTATAGGTTTGCAAGAACATATAGCAAAGAAACAAAGAGGTGCACCACCACAACAAAGAAACATAACTACACTAAAGCTAAAGCTACAGGCAGTTATAAACATATATAAATATATATCGCGACACACCCCCTTAACTGCCTGCAGCACATAGCTAGAGCAAGTCACACCCCCTGGAGGGGTATAGCAGGTGCGGTGGGAGACGGCAGAGGGGTACGTGAGGAGGAGGAGGCAAGAGGAAGAGAGGAGAGGAGAATAGATAAGAACACAGGAGGAGGTGAGTGGGGGATGAGGAGAGGAGGTGAGGGGGTGGCCGCAGCGTCCCCTCTTACTAACCCCCTTTTACGAAAGGGGGGTTGAGTGGGGGATGAGGAGAGGAGGTGGGGGGGTGGCCACAGCGTCCCCTCTTACTAACCCCCACATCCCCACCCCCAACCAACCACCCGCCCTCAACCTCACCCCCCATTTCAGCCGCCCCCTGGAACCGCACTCCCTCCACCCCTGTATTCCTCCATACCTCTCCCAACCCACGATGGTCCCTGTACAGTCTTTCACAAGTGGGCTGCTGGGCACAGGTGGGGCTGCTGGTCACAGGTGGGGCTGCTGGTCACAGGTGGGGCTGCTGGTCACAGGTGGGGCTGCTGGTCACAGGTGGGGCTGCTGGTCACAGGTGGGGCTGCTGGTCACAGGTGGGGTTGCTGGTGCTGGTGCTGGCGGCTGGCGCTGGTGCTGGTTCCTGGTGCTGGCGGCTGGCGCTGGGGCTGGTTCCTGGTGCTGGCGGCTGGCGCTGGGGCTGGTTCCTGGTGCTGGCGGCTGGCGCTGGGGCTGGTTCCTTGTGCTGGCGGCTGGCGCTGGGGCTGGTTCCTGGTGCTGGCGGCTGGCGCTGGTGCTGGTTCCTGGTGCTGGCGGCTGGCGCTGGGGCTGGTTCCTGGTGCTGGCGGCTAGCGCTGGGGCTGGTTCCTGGTGCTGGCGGCTGGCGCTGGGGCTGGTTCCTGGTGCTGGCGGCTGGCGCTGGGGCTGGTGCCTGGTGCTGGCGGCTGGTGCTGGTGCTGGTTCCTGGTGCTGGCAGCTGGCGCTGGTGCTGGTTCCGCCGCCACTCCCTTCCCCTCCTCTCTCTCCTTTCCACAGCGTCCCGCCGCCACTCCCTTCCCCTCCTCTCTCTCCTTTCCACAGCGTCCCGCCGCCACTCCCTTCCCATCCTCCCTCTCCTCCCCATGGCGACCGCCGCTGCACACGCAAACAGTCGCGACGGGGGGGGGTGACGGGCAGGGGGCGGGGGGAATGCGACGGGCAGAGCGGGCGAATGAGCGGCTGGGGCGATCGCCGGTGCTCTGGCGATCGTCGCTGGCGTTCCCCCGTCACTCCTATCCCCTCTTCCCTCTCGCCCCCACAGAGTTCCGCCGCCACTCCCATCCCTTCTTCCCTCTCCCCCCCACAGCGACCGCCGGTGCGACAGGCGAGGTGCAGGGTGGCGCTGGCTGCAGTCGATGGCGCAAACGCGATCGCGGGCCGCTGGCGACTTCGCTGGCGACTTCGCTGGCGGGTCGCTGGCGGTCGCCATAGCGTCCACCGCGCCCGTCGCGCTGAGAGCCGCGACGAGGCAGGCGACGACGATGCGACGGGCAGGCGACGGGGGGCAGCGCGAGCAGCAGGGAAAAAAAAAAGATACGCAAGGTGCGGATTTCGCGCCACTAACTGTAGCAGTCGCGAAATGTGATGGGCCCATAAACGAAATAGGTCCTAGGACGGACCGCTCTGTTACCATGTCAGAATCCCAACCACTAGACCATTGGGATAAAAGGGCTTTTTAAGTAGCGGGTCAGTGCGCCCATAACCCCCCAGGACAACGAGCCTGTAACCCTTCCCTAGGATCAATCGGGGATCACCAGTGGACCTCTGACAAACCCGCCACGCTGCACCGCTCCACCGCGCCCTCCACCAGCTCCACTGCCGCCACCACCACCCCCGCCGCCCCCACCACCGCCGCCGCCACCACCCCCGGCTCCGCCACTGCCCCCCCCACCACCAGCACCACTGCCACCACCGCCACCACCCCCGCCCCCTCCACCCCCTCCACCACCGCCGCCCCCGCCGCCACCTCCGCCGCCCCTGCCCCCCCTGCCCCTGCCGCCCTTGCGCCTCCCACTGGGAGCAGACGCAGCCCCGACCCCCTCAGCACCAAGGAAGTCGACAGCAGCAGCAGATGCAATGGAGGGGAGGAGGGGGGAGGGGGAGCATCCCTCAAAGAAGGGAGTGCGAGGGTCGCCACGAGAGGCTCCTACAGCTACAATGCTCTTCTCAGCTGCAAGGAGTTCCTTCTCGAGCAGGTCGACAGTGAGGTCTGTGGGGGAGAGAGCGAGAAAGTGGTCCCTGACAGCGCGTAGAGAGTCAGGGAGGCGAATGACTAGATGGTAGAGGGTGAGGTACAGCGGGGGAGGGTTCTTGGCGAGGAAGTCGGGGGGAAGTGCGGCACGGTAGCGGAGATCACTAGTACGGAGGTGAGTGATCAGGTCAGCTACTGTGGCAAAGGCAGAGAGATCGGGAAAGAGGTAAGGCAGTGAGAGACGGCCTATCGCAGCAGTAGCAGGGGAGGAGTAGCGTGCAATGACAGCATCGTACAGCTCCTTGGCGGTCTTATGCTGGCCGAAATGCTCACGCTCATCTAACGGTAGGTGGCTGCGAACGGCTAGGCGAGCATGAGCGTCACAGGTCTGCCACTGTGAGCGAGCAGTGCTGTCAGCAGTAGTAGCAGGTGCGGGAGCAGCGCCGGACGTGTGGTCATAGAGGGAAACATCATCCTTGGCAGTGATCTGAAGGTGCAGGTGAAGGTCATCGAGCCAGACATCGAACTTAATAGGACGGCCCTCAGTGTCAAAGGTGAGAACCGTAGGAGTGGCCATAGTGGCAGTAGCAGTAGCGGCAGTAGCAGTAGTAGCAGTAGCAGTAGCAGCAGTAGCAGTAGCAGGAACAGGAGCAGTAGTTGCAGTAGGTGGGGGGGCGCGGCTCGGTCAGGGCGGCGCGATTCGGGCGGCGCGACTCGGGCAGGGCGGCGCGGCGCCGCTCGGCCTAGGCAACGCGGCACGGCGCGACGGTGGGCCTGCGCGTGGGCGACTGTAGCGGGCGGTCCGCGGCTGTGCGTGGGCTGCAGTCGCGCGCGGGCGGCGGCGTACGAGGGCTACGCGGCGGCCTACGGGCGGGGCTGCGGGCCGCTAGCGGGCTACGCGCGGCCAGGAGGGCCGGTCGACGGGCGGCTAGCGGGCTGCTCGTGGCGGCGTGGGCGGCTAACGGTCGGCGCGCGCACAAAAAACGGCCGCGCGCGGGCTGCTAGGGGGCGACGCGCGCTAAAAAAAAAGGCCGCGCGCGGCACTAGCGAGCTGCGCACGGGCAGCAGGAGAAGGAGAGGCGCACGAGGGCGCACTAGGAGAGAGGCGCTCGAGGGCGCTAAGTCGATACGGCGCTCAAGGGCGCTTCTGACGGTGGGCCCTTAGGTAAGTCCTAGGTCTAGAACCTAAGCTCTTAATACCATGTCAGAAACAAGAAGTGATTGAACTAGGAAAGTTGGGAGTACAAGTATGAAACCCTAAAGGATTGTACCACCTAAAGGCTAACCCACTGTAGCCTACACAGCAATAACATGTATAATGTTTGACAGTCCGGTCCTTGCGACCTCCACCACCGCCCTCCCTTGTCCTGCTGTCCCGTCCGGCACACTGTCGGGTCTTTACCTCCCCTCGTTCTCTACGAACTTGGTGGCGGGTTCCGCGCTCCAGGACGCGGGTGTTCACCAGTTCACCCCTGCCTATGAGCGTGTGACACACTGCACGTGTGCTCAGACGGGTCGTCACCTGGCTACCTTCACTCGGCAGCCGGGGTCGGACCTGTACACACTGACCACTGAGTCCCCTCAGGTAGCTACGTCTGCGTCTGCGTCAGGTCAGTTGTCCGCCCCCTGCTCGTGTCGCACCTTGTCGCACCGGACGGTCCTCTGGCACCACCGCCTTGGTCACCCTTCGATGCAGCGCCTTCGTGGCATGCACTCCCGTTACCTTGTCTCTGGTCTCCCCAGGTCACTGCCTCCCCTGCCACCGTCCCCTGCCCCTCCCTGCCTTCCCTGTGTCGAGGGGCGGCAGCGTGCCGCCCCTCACTCCTCTGAGTTCCCCCCGATGGAGGCTCCTCTGCAGACCCTTCACATGGACGTGTGGGGCCCAGCCCGCGTCCGTGGACAGGGCGGAGAGCGCTACTTCCTGCTGGCCGTTGATGACTACACGCGTTACACCACGGTCTTTCCCATGTGTACCAAGGGAGAGGTCCCTGATGTCTTGATCCCTTGGATCCGCGCTACCCGTCTCCAGCTGGAGAGGCGCTTTCGCACGGACCTTCCCGTCCTGCGACTGCACTCTGACAAAGGTGGTGAGTTTTCCTCCGGCCTCTTGAGAGCCTTCTGTCAGGGGGAGGGCATTGAGCAGACGTTCACGCTTCCGGCCTCTCCGCAGCAGAATGGGGTTGCTGAGCGCCGCATTGGCTTGGTCATGGAGGTCGCTCGTACCCCCTTGATCCATGCGGCTGCCCCCCATTTTCTGTGGCCGTTTGCGGTCCGGTACGCCGCGCATCAGGCCCCGTGTCTCCGTTCCGGAGACCTCGCCGACACTGCGTTGGACGGGAGAGGCTGGCGATGCGTCAGTGTTCTGGGTCTGGGGATCTCGTGCCTTTGTCCGCGATACGTCCGCGGACAAGCTCTCCTCCCGCGCCGTTCCTTGTGTCTTCCTTGGCTTTGTCCCTGACGCGCCTGGCTGGCAGTTTTACCACCCCACCTCGCGCCGTGTCTTCCCCTCTCAGGACGTCACGTTTGACGAGTCGGTCCCCTTTTACCGTCTCTTCCCCTACCACACTGCCCCGCTCCCCCCTCCGCCGCTCTTCCTCACACCAGGTGCTGCTTCGGTAGACCCCCTACCTCCCCAGGGTCCTGCTCCCTCACGTGTTTCCCAAGTAGACCCGGTCAAGCCTGTCGAGGTAGTTGTCGACTCTGGTCCTGCGCGAGGTACTGAGCCTAAGCGTGCTGAGCCTGGAGGTGCTGAGCTTGGGGGTGCTGAGACTGGGGGTGCTGAGACTGGGGGTACTGAGCCTGGGGGTGCTGAGACTGGGGGTGCTGAGCCTGGGGGTGCTGTGACTGGGGGTGCTGAGCCTGGAGGTCCTGAGCCTGGGGGTACTGCGCCTGGGGGCACTCTCTCTTCCCAGCAGCTGCGTGAGTGGTACTCTCGGCACTGCCGCCGCCGACGTGGTGCTGTGGGAGCTGGGGGTGCTACTGGAGCGGGAGATGAGGGCACTGGAGCTACTGGTGCTGGTGTGGCTTCCGACCCTGGGGTTGGCGCTGGAGGTGCTGGAGCCACTGGTCCTGGAGGTGCTCGACTGGCGGTACTGGAGCTCCTGGAGGTGCTACTGGTGCTGGAGCTAGTGGTGCTGCAGGGGCTGGAGCTGGAGGCGCTGACGCTCGTCCTACTGGAGCTGCTGGAGCCGGTGCTCCTGGGGGTACTGGAGTTGACGCTACTGGAGCTGCTGGTGGTGCTGCATGAGTTGGAGCTGACGCTGGGGGTGCTGGTGCTGTCCCTGCCGGTTCTGGAGGCGCTGTTACAGCCCGCCTCCCCACTGCCTGCTCCCTCTCCTTACACTAGTCCGACTGGAGGTCTTACTGAGCGTCGTGAGCCTGCGTCTCGTCCTGCGTCGCCTGTTCGTGCTACTCGCACTGGTCGTCGTGGTCCGCGTCAGCGTCCTCCTCCTGTTCCTGGCACGCACCAGATGGCTCTGCGTCCTTCCACTGCTCCGCAGCGTGTTCCTCTGCCGTCTCCTCCTGCGTCCTCTCTTCCTGCCCTTGCTGACCCGGAGTCTGATTCCCTTCGTGCTGCTAGTCCTAGTGTCACGCGTCTCCTAGCCACTGTTGTCACTGACCCTTCCTTTGAGTCCACTGCTGCGTCCGCCTTAGTTGCTGAGCTTGTCGACTTTGCTGCTCACTGTCGTCTAGACTACGCCGCGAGTCTTGTTGCTAAGTCTGAGTCTATCTGTCCTCCGTCCGTCGGGGGTGAGTGTGCTCTTGGCACGGACGTCCTTGAGGACAGGCAGGAGGACTTTGAGTGCTTTGCAACTGCTGTACCTCATCTCGTGTCCATGCTGATTGCACCTGAGGGAGACCCGGATGCACCAGACATCCCGACCCCGCGCTCTTACGCAGAGGCGATAGAGGGTCCCTACTCCTCTCAGTGGCAGTCAGCCATGGACGCAGAGATGGCATCCTGGAAGTCCACAGGCACCTACGTTGACGAGGTTCCCCCTCCTGGGGTGAACATCGTCAGTAGCATGTGGATTTTCAGGGTGAAGCGGCCGCCGGGTTCTCCGCCTGTCTTCAAGGCGCGTTACGTTGCTCGAGGCTTTAGTCAGCGACAGGGAGTTGACTTCTTCCAGACCTTCTCCCCCCGAAGATGACCACTCTTCGGGTTCTGCTGCACGTCGCTGCTCAGCGTGACTACGAGCTCCACTCTCTTGACTTCAGCACTGCTTTCCTACAGGGCAGC